CACTGGTAGCTTCGTTGGACACAGTCCCAATGACATGCTTTTTCCCCCGGCGCTGTCAACAGTGCCCTTGGCTCCATGGATTCACACACACACACACTCGCCACCCTCACAGACCCACGACACCTCTGCCCCTGTTGCACCCCCACCAGAACAAAACATAGGGCTGGCCGGAGTGGGTGTAGGTTAGGTCCAGTTCAAAAGCGTTGGTTCCGGAAAATTCGGCGAGGTTTGCCTGGCTTAGGTAGGACTACGTGAGCTTGTCTTTGTTACGGCAAAATAAAGTTTAGGTTCAGTCCGAGTAGTTTGAGTCATGTCCGGCAAAAGTACGTTCAGCTAAAGGTCAGTTTAAAAATTATGTTCTGACTGTTTTGGCCAGGTTGAGGTTACATGATGCTAAGATAGCTTCGGTGCCTAGGGTCGGTTAGGCTCGGTTAGATTGGGATTGGTCACTGGGTAGGTTGCATGAGGTGAGGTGTTTTTTTCAAGTTGGGGTTAACTCAGGTCAGGCGACACCGGCATTAGTTTAGATTGAGCTCGGTTATGCTGAGTTATGTTAGATTTATAGTTTTGGATGGCGGTTCTGTTCATTGAGTCCCAACATGTAGACTCAAAGGCAGCTACATGCAAAGGACACGCCGGCAGGGATGATTGAAAAGGAGTTTCCTCTGAAACTGAGCGAGCGAGCGAGCGAGCGAGCTTCGACACAGCTTAAGTAATTCATTACCGTACCAGCTTGAAGTTCTCAGCTCCAACGGTGGGCTTTTGAGGTAGTGGTGCGTGCAGTGACCCGTGCTGTGGCGTACTGTCCTGCTTGGTGTAGCCAATGGCATGTCTGGTGTGGTGGTAGAAATTTGTGTGATCTTGTCTAGCTCATGCCCGGCTGCCTTGCAGCACGAGTCCTGTTTTGTTCAGGACCAGCTGAGGCGACGCGAGGACACTGAAAATCAATTCCTCTGTTTTTGAGGGTACGTGTGCCGATCGTGCTTCTGCAAATGCTCGCCATGTGCATTTTGAGTACCACGACAAGGAGGCTGCGCCGGAGCTCACGGCTGCGGAGCTCCTGGCAACAGAGGCCGAGCGCCTGGAGGAGGAGCTGGAATTTGCCAAATGCAGTTAGCCAGCAATGTTGAAGAGGCACAGAGGGAGTGAAGAGACTCGGTGACTGGTTTGGCGCTCCAGTGCATTTTTGGGGGCTGGAGTTCTACTCGACAGATCGAAGATGTAAGGCTTTCTCGCCAGCGGCATTCCGGCTCAAGTCCTTCCGCGCAACCGCCTCCCACGAAACATGAGTGCTGGCCAGGTCTCGAAGAAGAGGAAATTCGTTGCAGATGGAGTCTTCAATGCAGAGCTGAACGAGTTCTTGGCTCGAACCCTGGGTGAAGATGGCTATGCTGGTGTGGAGGTGCGAGTGACGCCGATCCGGACCGAGATCATCATCCGTGCAACACGAACTCGCGAGGTTCTTGGGGAGAAAGGGCGCCGCATCCGAGAGCTCACCGCTTTGGTGCAGAAACGTTTCGGATTTCCAGAGAACAGCGTGGAGCTCTTTGCCGAGCGTGTGGAAAACCGTGCGTCCTGTGCCATGGCCCAGTGCGAGTCCCTGCGATTCAAGCTCATCGGGGGCCTGGCTGTGCGACGCGCGTGCTACGGTGTCTTGAGGTTCATCATGGAGAACGGAGCCAAGGGCGTTGAAGTTATCATTAGCGGCAAACTTCGTGCTCAGCGCGCAAAGGCTATGAAGTTCAGGCAGGGCTACTTGATTTCCACCGGCGAGCCGAAACGCCACTACATCTCGGAGGCCGTCCGGCATGTTCAGATGCGACAGGGAACCATTGGCATCAAGGCGACTTCTCTTGCAAGCTCGATCGAGCTCTCTGAATCATTTAATAAGCCAGCCTGGCAGTCTTGCCGGGACATCTCTTCCCAGTCAGCCATAGCCAAGCTTTAGAACTTATGAGCGGCCGAGGTGAAGATCATGATGTCGCATGATCCGGAGGGCAAGATGGGACCCAAAATGCAACTTCCAGACAACGTGATCGTCCACGAGCCCAAGGACGAGACGCCCATGATGATGCCTCCGCAGGAGAGGTTGAGAGTAGCTTTGAGTGCTTTTTGCGTTTTGCAGGTGCTGACCGCAAGGGCACGGGCATCGCAGCACGCGTAACAGCTGTAGAAGTAGCCATAATAGTAGTCGTCGTCGTACTAGCTACTCTAGCAGCAGGAACTTTAGTGCAGTGCAGTGATAGTGGTAGTGGAAATGGTAGTGGTAGTAGCAGTGGCGGTAGCAGTGGCAGTACTGTAGCGGCAGCGGTAGTAGGTGGTGGTAGTGGTAGAAGTTGCCGTCGTAGTCGCGTCGCAGCTGTAGTCGTAGTCGTAGTCATAGTCGTTGCGGTGGTGGTGGTGGTGGTGGTTGTCCACGTCTCGTCCTCGTCGTCCCAGTAGCAGTAGCACTCGTCGTCGTCGTCGTCGTAGTCGTCGTTGTCGTCGTCGTCGTTGTCGTCGTGGTCGTCGTCGTCGTCGTCGTGGTTGTGGTTGTGGTTGTGGTTGTGGTTGTGGTTGTGGTTGTTGTTGTTGTTGTCAAGATGTAACACTTCTGGCACACTTCCCTGGTACAGTCTTGCAGCTGTGACCTGCACTTCCACACTTCGCG